ACACAAAATATGGACCGAATGCCATTATATATAGAGGTTAATTGCAAAAACACAAAAGTTATTGGAAATTTTCGGCGGCTCCAATAGTTATTAAGGGTTTGTGCGATTTTAGGGTTTACTGTAAAATGCCAGAAGTTCTTGGGTTTTATTGCAATTTAAGCTCAAGGAAAAGTGTACTCACTCTCTTTGGGTTAATTTCACAAAACCCTCATGAACTTTAAGGAGTATCGTACATAATCCCACTAAATTTTACTTATATTATATAATCCTCCTGAACTATGAGGTGTCGCACAAAGCCCTCCTAAAATTTAGCTCATCTCACATAAATGTTCTTGTTTGTAATTTGGGAATATCTAAAATGTCAAAATTTTGTGAACTTTATCATTTGTTCTTTATACGCAACATGTCTTCCCCTAAAGTTTGAGTTTTTTCTTTCAAAAAATTTTAGTTATTTGCAGACTATAGGGGGGTTAGATGAGATAAGCTAAAATTCAGTGGAGTTTTAGGGGAAACACTATGGTCCAGGAGGATTATGCGAGAGAAATAAAGTTTAGAGGGTTTATGTGCAACACCCTCAAAGGCTAGGTGGTCTTGTAAAATTAACACTTTTTCCTTTGACCATGGGAAACCAACCACTATCACCGCCGAGCACATTGGCAAACCTTCTGTAGGTAAATAAAAAATAAACGAGCATCCTTTCCCTTCCACTCTTTTCATTTTTATGTTAAAATAATGGTTTATGCTGCTCGGCTTTTGTACGTATTGGTTGGGTTGGGTGGGTTTCGTACATCCCCACCGAAAAGCGACAGAAATTCCCCTCCCGTTGGAGTCCGCAACACCTCGAGAAGACTAATCAATTATAAAGCATTTTTTCCTACTTTTTGCATCATAAAGTAGTAATTTTTCCAGCCTACGATGCGTTTACCAACTCTACCAAACTAAATTTAGTGGATGTAAAATACAAGTTTAATCCAAAAGTTAATTGGGCAATAGTTTGTAAAACAATTTAGTTGGTTTTCTTTTGGTTCAAATTCAAGTTTTAAGGCTTCGTTTGGATGCGATGACGTTTTCCTTGTTGCGTTTTTATTAAAAAAAAACATTATGGTGTTGCGTTTTTCACTTAAAGTGTTTTCAAAACACAATATTAAGTATTTTTTATCAACATTTGTTTGACTCATTACAATATTAATATTAAACATATTATATATTAATTATAATAAAATGTATTATAAATAAAATAATATAATATTTAGTTTATATTATTATAGTATTATAAGTATTGAATATAATATTATAATCTTGTATAATGTATTATAATATTATATTATACTTTAATCATAACATATTATTTTTAAATAATTATATAGTTAATTAGTTTGGTATATCAATTTGTTATTTTTATATATCACATAACATTTTTAAAATAATATTATTTTGTTACTGATATAATATTTTACTGTTATTAATATAATATAATCTTATTAGTAATGTTTATATTATGTTATTACTAGTATATTGTTAATAAATTGATATATTATAAATATTTTAATATCAAGTAATTTTTTATGATTCTAATATGTTAGAGTTTATTAATAATATATTAATAACTTATGATATAAATAAATATTATTATTGTTATGATATTTTCAATCATCTAAGTGTAACTTTTCATCATCAACGGAGAGATGTACTTCTGCATACAATGCCCCAATCGAATTGACGACCGAGACCATCAAGGGTTACAACTTAATCGACTCACCGAGTCGACATTTGTTCATGTCGACTCGAAATGTGGTACTAGTCGCCCCTCTTGTCAAAGACTACTCACAGCGAGTTCAGTCGACTAGCTATTCGACGCCTCCTGATGTCGGCTTGAAAGACGTTACTTCTCGGCCAAGCTAAAGGACTTGATCCCTCCACTGGCAACGTTGACGTCATAATTAATGCCTGGAAGGTACCATCATGCCTCTAGCCCCGATAGTCTTCATGATTCATCGGACCACGTCAGCACCGTCATGCCTCTAATCACTCCACATTTCAATGCTGAGGTGATTTTTCCTCTAGTCGCCAGCCGACACCTATAAATTAAGCAAAAGCTAACTCAGCCACCCGCCCATACTTCGCCACCGCCCTTCTGTGCTCGACTGAATTGACCATTCTACCATTCTTCTACCAATATAAGAAGCAATACTGTTTTAGATGGCAATGTATCTGATCTAAATCAAAAAAGGTATCTGATCTAAATCAAAAAAGGTGATTGATCTAGATCTAATCTAATCTGCAAATTATATTGCACACACAACAACTCTCACAGTTCTTTCCTTTCTCCACTTCAAACTCACCAACTGACTAGATCATCGAAGGAATCACGGGGGAACCAGTTCCTGTCCTTTTTGTATTTCTACTTCTACAGACTTTTCAGCCACTCAAAGCTAGATATAAAGTTGGGGAAGAAAGTGACCCCTTCATCAAAACCTCACCCTCATCCAACCACGGATACAATTGACTGTGTGATTACTTAACATCAAGAATTATATTATGAATATATTATTTTTACATTAATATTTTGTTAGCAATAAATTTGAAGAATTAAAAATTATTTTACTTAATAATATATTATATTATTTATTACATAATATCTTAATATATTATATATTAAATTACATTTAATATACAATATATTATGATTATATTATTAAATATGATGCTATTATATAATATTTTATAGTCATTAATTTATTACAATTTATTTATTAAAAAGTTTTTGTGATTATAACAATTACCATATCATTATTATATTACTATTTATTATCAACATATTTTTATTATTTTATTAGATTTTAGTAAAAAAATTTATTTTACTTAATAATATATTATATTGTTTATTACATAATATATTAATTTATAATATTTATATTACATTTACTATACAATATATTATTCTAATAATATAATACATTATCAACATATTAAATACTAGTACTTAATATATTATTATATAAGATATTTTAATTATTATATTTTTTTACTATTTAATAAATATTACTAATATACTAGATTAACTATAATATAGTATAGTATGATATAATATAGTAGATTAACTATTATATAAGATATTTTAAGAAAGTGACCCCTAAATTTATGTTTTACGCTACACCCCAAAAGTTTAGAAGGTTACGTGAAACGAAAACGTGCAGGGCTTGTGTGAAAACGCCCACGTTAACAGGGGTTCGTTAAAATTTTACCCTGCATGTGCGAGAAGAGAGAGAGAGGAGAGAAAAAGAGAGGGGCAAACGGGAAAAGCAGCATGCCTGCAACGTGAGTACACTATTCATACTGTCCCAGAATAATAAGAAGCAGACAAACAAAGGGAGGAGGATTTTATAGGGATAAGAGTTCCACCAAATCTAGGGTTTAGCGCTCCCTATTGATGCTCAGAGAGGCAACCCCCCATGCTTTCTCTCTCTCTCTCTCTACCCCTCTCAAAACCCTGTTTAGGGATTTGGTTGCATTGTTTTATCCCACCTTCACTTTTTTTTTAAGATCCCTTTGAAGGACAAAAACAAAAGCTACAAAACAAATCATTGCCAATGGGCAACTCACATGCGCAACAAGCAAAATTCTCAGGCAAAAAAAGTTCTGTTTACCACACACACACAATTTGAAATGTAATATGAGTTTTGCTACAGAGACCCAAAATATAGGACAAATAAAGGGGACAAGTGAGGTGTCCCCTCCTATTGGATAATGAGTTGGCCATCATTAATGATTGCCAACTCATTATTAATGATGACCAACTCATTATCCAATAGGAGGGGAACACCTCACTTGTCCCCTTTATTGGTCCCATATTTTGGGTACTTAAAGAATTTTTCATGTAAGATACGTTAGAAATCACGTTTACTCTTTCCACAGATTTCAGTTTCAGTGTAGGAGACTCACATCATCAGTACAAATAAAAAAAAAGGCTGATGACTGATGAGTGGGAAGAAGCCAACAAAGGTTGAGACAAAAATGCTAAACCATGTGACCTGCCAAAGATCTACTCTCCTTTTCATTTTCAAATTAAAATATTATCTTGATTTTCTGTTGTCATAATGTTTGTTTGGTATCTTTTTACTGTTTAGCACCTAAACTCTTGCGCGATATCAATAAGCTCAGGGTTCAAAAATTTTGACGTAGGGTCACCCTCCAAGCTTTGTATCTTAGGCGGTTCCATGTTTTTGAGGGAAAGACTCTCTTGAAAGCCTACCAAAAGTGTCAAAAATATTACTTTTTGGCAGGCTTTCGGCCAAAATCGTCTCTAAAAAAAAAGATTTTAGCTGAAAGTCTGCAAAAAAGTAACACTTTTGGCACTTTTGACAGGCTTTCAAGAGAGTCTTTTCCTCAAAAACATGGAACCAAACAGTCCCTTAAAGTCTAGAATATTGCAAATATGATGAATGTTGCTTTGTTTTTTAAACTCTCCGCCATCTTTAAACTCTTAAGGGGTAGAGCGATCGCTATCTTTATCACAAGAATCACAATTATCTTAAAACCAACGGTTGTAATAAAGTAGTGAATTTCTCACTATTTTTTGACAATAAAGAAAATATAAATACTTTCAATTTATATGAAATCACATGAATCGATGGCATAATTTGATACGATACAGACCCTATTTACAAATTTTTTTGATTTCTTATATAACAGCTAACAAAGTAATTCCACCATAGAAGTTGCGCGAAATGGATCAATTCGCCTTAAATTTGGGTTATGTAGGATCAGAAATGTCTAATGTTTCTGTTAAAAAAGGAATCTAACTTATACTTAGTAATTATTTTTCGGGCAAGAAATAAATGGAGCAATTAACAAATTGTTTTGAGAGTGAAATATTAACACAAGAGGGATGTCTAGTTACCGCGAGTGAGTCTGTGAGTGGACGCAAAGCTGTTTCTTTTTCTCAAAAGAAAATTCAAAGGAGAAAGAAAAATGAAGAGGGTGCTTTTTGACACTTGATCTTTTGTAGTACAAATCTCTCCCCTTCAGAAACCAAAACAAGAATATGTTTTTGTTACTCTTCGCGTCTGCATCTGCGTCTGAGTCATCTTTGGCAGTTAGCATTGGCCCTTTGCGTGTTTGGTTGCTTCTCATCTCCTCTGCTCACTGAGAAGAAGGTAGAGAGCTTTGAATTGAGAGTGGGTAACAAGGAATCAGAGCAGAGCTTAAAGAAGAAGAAAGAGGGAATATAATAGTGGAGAGAGCTCCTTTTGAGTTTGTCGATTAGAGAAGAGGTGAAGAAGGGAAAGGACCTTGAAGAAGAAAAACTTGTCTTTTTATTGAATTTTTTTTTTCTTGGGTTTAGAATGCCGATGGAATTCTGACTGAAAGAGAGGCTTTTCGCTGAATCAAACCGCGGGGATTCTCCTTTTGTGGAGCAGTGTTGGATTTTGCATCTGGGTTTTTGTTTTCAGAGTCTTTTGGTTGGAGTCTGGCCCCAAAGCCGCCTCCTTTTCTAGTTATTTACGCTGAAGGATCCTATCCCCTATCTGGGGTTTTGAGTTTAGATGCTCTACTCAAAGAGAATTTGACGCTGATTGTTTCTGGAGGGATTTTGGTATCTGGGTTTTTGTTGAGAGGGGTTCTACTTTTGGGAAATTGATGGAATTAGCTCAGTTGTTCTGGTGTTTTTGCTGCTGAAATGGAGAGAAGAAATTGTTGCCCCTTTTCGATGGTGAGCTTGGTGCTAACATTATTGGGTTTGCTTCAAGTTTCCTCTGCAACTCTTTCGCCTTCGGGTATAAACTATGAAGGTGAGTAGACCCTGAGCTTCATCTTCCTTCTCTTTAGCATGAGTTTTTCATCACCATAAAGACTCATTGGGATCTCTGGGATACAGTCTTTGAAATATCTTCTTCTGAGACTCTAGATTGGGTTTTCTCTGGCTAATTTTGAGTACTTGTTCGAATTATAGAAGCATTCTTTCAGAGTATTAATTAACAAATTAAGTTAATTAACTGGTTTTAAATACACCTTGTAGTTGTCTTTTATTTCTTCATTATCAAAATTCTAGGAGTATCCTCCCTGGATACCTTGTAGTTATGTGATTTTGAATAGACCCTGATTGGTCATTATGTCTTGAGTTCTTTGAGATAATGATGCCCCAGCTAAAACAATTTCATGTAGAAATCAAATTGCAGCATTTTTTTTTTGTGATGTATCTAAGATTTAGCAAATTGAGCCATTATTAACAGCAGTGGCCAAAATCCTCCATCTTATTCTCATAATACTTCTCCATAGTGGTATTTTCTTCTTTTCTGTGGTTCTTTGCTAGGGGATTGCCATCTATTTCGTCCGAATTAAGTTTTTCAGGCTGAGATAGTAACAGTAGTAGGAGATCATCTGAACCTGCTGTTACAAATTGTTGCTCTCCCACTCCACTTCTTTCCGATACACGCTTGCCTTCAGTATCAATGGGAAATCTTATCCCTTAGGAATCCTGTCTCATATTTTTTAAGTAGTTGGTGACAAACAAGCGTATACTATGTAGTTATTGATCATCATATGCTCTAGTATTACATAATACAATTGATCCATCAGTGTGGTATCTTATCTGTCCTTTACAGTGGTAACTTTAGGAATTGCTTACGCCTACTCTTGCTAATGCAGTGGTGGCGTTGATGGCCATAAAATCAGACCTAAATGACCCATATAATGTTCTTGAAAATTGGGACATTAACTCAGTGGATCCATGTAGCTGGAGGATGGTCACCTGCTCTGCTGATGGATATGTCTCCGTTCTGTAAGAAATGCACCATCTTTTTCATCGTGTTTAAGCAGTTGCAAGGCAAAGAGAAACATTCGCATAATCCGAACACTTTTCTGATTTACTAGTCCCTTGAATTGTTCTCATTTTTTATGCAGAGGCCTACCGAGCCAGAGCTTGTCTGGGACTCTATCACCTGGAATTGGAAATCTAACAAAACTTCAATCTGTGTAAGTGGATCTATTAGTCTGATTGGAAGCCTTTTTTTTGGTATTCATCTTGTTTGTATTAAAAGACCGTGTTGTACACATAACTTGGTTGCAAAATAACCATATTTTTTTTCTTTTTCAAAATTTGCTTTTAGAATCTAGACTGTAGAGTTCAAAACCTTACCTTTGGATGGTTATGGATATAAATATGCCACAATTCTGTTGGAAAGTAAGATTTTCTTTTTGTTCCTGTAGGCTGCTGCAGAACAATGCTATTTCTGGACCTATACCTGCTGATATAGGAAAGTTGGAGAAGCTCCAAACGCTGGATCTTTCTAGCAATCAGTTCAGCGGCAGCATTCCTAGTTCCCTTGGTGACCTGAAGAACCTGAATTATTTGTAGGACTTCCGCAAATTAAGACCTTTTTTCCTCTCTGTTGTTAATTTTGCAGACTCAAATGTTACAATCATCTATTTATTTTATATGACAGGCGATTGAATAATAACAGCCTTTCTGGAGCCTTGCCTGGTTTAATGTCAAACATCAAAGGTCTCACTCTCCTGTAAGTGTTATCTTTATCGTTCCACACAGCAAAGACATCTGCATTACTTTATATAGAGGTAATGAAATTTTCTTAAATTTGAAATTCTTGTAGGGATCTTTCTTATAATAATCTAAGTGGCTCTATACCAAAGATTTCTGCAAGAACTTTCAAGTAAGTTTTTGTCATTCTTTTCATTTTTATCACCAGATCCTTGTCACAGACGCAAAATCACTAACTTTAAACGCGTTACAATTTGTCAGCATTGTAGGAAATCCTTTAATTTGTGGTCAAAATTCAGTGAGTAACTGTTCTTCCGTTTCTCTAGAGTCCATTTCATTTCCACCAGATGACCTTAAGGGTAAGGAATGATTTGCACTTTTGATTACCATATTGATATTGTTGTAAAGCAAAAAATCTGTTAAAAATTAATAGGTTTATTACCGGTGACTAGTCTAATTAATAGGCCTCTTGGGTTTCTCAGCTCAATCACAGCCTGGAGTGATGAGAAGACGTCGTGTGGCTATTGCATTTGGTGCAAGTGTTGGTTCTGTTGTTGTGGTAATCATTGTTGTTGGACTGCTTCTTTGGTGGCATCGGCATCACAGTCGACAGGTTTTCTATGATGTAAATGGTGAGAAATGTTTCTTCTTTTTCTTCTTCTTATCATGTTCCTTGTTACCTGGCCATTTCTTACAGTTCAATAGTTGCAATCAAATTGTCCTTATGGACTAGTAAACCATCATTCATGAGCATTCATTTTCATATATGTGCTGATTGTTCACATATATGTACTAAAGAAGATTCTGTGCTCATCTTTTCTAACACCCCTACAACATGGAGGTGATTTATTAGAGATACAATATGGAAGCAACCATATGCTTTTCAAATTGAGGAGACATACAAATTATGCGGTAGGAATTATTCCCTATTACCATTAAAATGATTGACATATTTTTGTAGGGAGGTAACAACCTAAGGTCTATCTAGAGAGGGATTCTGTGAAATAAAATATGGTTATTGAACAAATTTAGGCTTGTGATATTCAGGTGAGAAAGGCTTATATTATTGTCCCACAATTCATATTCAGGTGAACATGAATGCTTTTTTCATGTTTATAAAGGACTACACACTATCGGCCTCTCACAAGTGTGGAAAAAATGTTATGAATGGAGAAAGTACAGAGAACATATTGATAGAAATAAATGCATTTTTGTCTTTTTCATTCCTCATTGATCACAACGATACTGTATGAAAGATAAGGCCAATATATACGCTTACGCATACACAAAATATACAAGACAAATGCAAGGATACTGTATGAAAGATAAGGCCAATATATACGCTTGCGCATACATAAAATATACAAGACAAATATTTTACATTGCCGCTTCATCAAGAGTGCATTGAACTTCCATCTTTAGAAATCATAATATCACCTCATGGAGGAAAATTAGCAAGGTCATTTCTGACCCTTAATTTGCGGACTTGTTGTTATTGTACAATCTCATTTGCTAGTTTCTTATCTAGTTCAACAGTTCTGTGTTCTATAAACTTGTGGGAAGTTGAATCTCTCGTGTATGCTTTCTTTGAAAGCTTGTCTGGAGTAGCTTGTTTCTGTGCAGACCAATACGATCCAGAAGTACGTTTAGGTCATTTGAAGCGTTATTCTTTCAAGGAGCTCCGAGCAGCTACCAATCATTTCAACTCGAAGAATATTTTAGGAAAAGGTGGCTATGGAGTTGTGTACAAAGGCAGCTTGCGTGATGGTACAATTGTAGCTGTGAAAAGGCTGAAAGATTATAATGCTATCGGTGGAGAAATTCAATTCCAAACCGAGGTTGAAATGATAAGCTTGGCTGTTCACAGGAATCTCCTTAGACTATGTGGATTCTGTATTGCTGATAATGAGAGACTTCTTGTTTACCCTTACATGCCTAATGGAAGTGTTGCTTCTCAACTTAGAGGTAACTCAAATTAAGATAAGAACCAACGTTTTCCACTAAATAAAAAGTTCTACTTAGAAAAGAACATATGCTAACTTCTTGTTTTATTATGTGGTAGAGCATGTACGTGGAAGGCCGGCTTTAGACTGGTGGAGGCGGAAAAGAATAGCATTGGGGACGGCAAGAGGACTGTTGTATTTGCATGAGCAATGCGATCCTAAAATAATTCACCGTGATGTTAAAGCTGCAAATATTCTCCTTGATGAAGATTTTGAAGCAATTGTTGGAGACTTTGGACTGGCAAAACTATTAGATCATAAGGAGTCTCATGTGACCACCGCAGTAAGGGGCACTGTTGGTCATATAGCTCCTGAATATTTGTCGACAGGGCAGTCCTCAGAAAAAACTGATGTTTTTGGCTTTGGGATCTTATTACTTGAACTGATTACTGGTCAAAAAGCCCTGGATTTTGGACGAGCAGCAATTCAGAAAGGGCAGAAAGGCGTGATGCTTGACTGGGTAAGTTTTTTTTCTAATTAAAGGTTATAATTAAGTAATATACTGGGTTTATACTTTTATACTACACGCATATTTTGTCAAATATTTTGCTTTTGAATTGCATATTACTGGAGAGGTACCAGATATCACTTGAATCGGTAAAATGACCAATATGCTGAACTCTCTGTTTTCATCATCAAAGGAAAGCTGATTGCAATTTCTCTCAATAGAGTACTCTAAAAAAATAATCAACTTAATGCCATAATTTTAATCATAAAAAGAAAAAGAAGACACTTGTGTTATTATTTCAAATGTTCAGATATCTTCTGGTACATTGTCATAGATTGAACGAGATTTTCAACATCAAAGATTCAAAGCAGGTACTGGACATATTTATAAAAGGATTCCAGCAAGTAAACCCAAAGAATTGCGATGACGGCTTATATTGTTCTTGGCAGTATTTATCCAATTGCAACAATCCACAGTTCTACCTTAATAAAGGTCTTAATCTGGCATCAGATTCTATGAAAGTCAAATCAAATCCATCAAGTAATTTTTACAAGTTATATTATCTATAAGGCTGATTTTTTATGTTGGTGGTAGCTGGCTGTAAACAATGGTAGCAAGTACATATCTAACATAAGGTATAAAACACAATGCATTGTGAGTTAATGATTCTGCGATGAATCATTGTTGACATATAGACGCACATCATATGTTGATGGTGGAATTTGTTTCAAGCTTTAATCATGCATCTAATAGATGAAGTTATTTTTCTGTTTTACGTGGCACTTTAATACTTGACCATCTCTATTTGACATTTCAAGTCTCCTACCAAATACATTGTTGGTGCAGGTGAAGAAGCTGCATCAAGAGAACAAGTTGCATACAATGGTGGACAAGGGTCTGAAGAACAACTATGACAGGATCGAAGTTGAAGAGATGGTTCAGGTTGCACTACTCTGCACTCAGTTCCACCCATCACACCGGCCCAAGATGTCTGAAGTCGTCAGAATGTTAGAAGGAGATGGACTTGCCGACAAGTGGGAAGCCTCATCCCAAAACAAGGCGGACACTCCCAAATTCCCTCCTCGGTCCTCATCTTTAGAGCCGCAACCAATGTCTCCAACTTATTTAGACTTCGTAGAGGAGTCATCCCTTGATGTTGAAGCTATCGAGCTTTCAGGGCCTAGATGACACGAGAAAACTAAAAGAAAGAAAGAAGAGAAATTCAATTGTACATTGTTTTGGTTGCTCGCGAAATGGAAGGAATATGTAATTTTTTTTGGCAGCGGTGTTTATTTAGATGATGTTGATGGAAGATGGACGTTGATTGCATGGTATTCTTTATACAAAGTTGAAGAAACTAAAAGGGACAGAACATATTATTTGGGGGAGAAAAACTGAAGTTGGTCCCCAGGTTTTACAGCGTTCTGTGTTGATTTTCCAGAACCTCAGCAAACTAGAAAAGGTTTGCATATGATTCATTAAAGTCAGCAACAGCCTACGTTGTAGCCATTCCACTGCTTTTGCTAGACTAACATTATGAACACACTGTGCAAAAGGCGTATTTACGAATTGCATAAAAGCTGTATAGGGGATTATTTTATTTTTTCCATTTAAATCCCCATCATTCTCCTTATAACGCTATTCCCCTTTTTTTATTTCCTTCAAGTTGAGGGCTTGTAATGAAGGATTTGGCCTTGCTGTTCAGTATTCAGCCAAAAACATTCAGTCCTCAGGCAAATTTAGCTAAATATATTCACCGTCTAAAAAGAACGGGATCAACTAAACACAGCAACTTGTTGGAAATGAAATGCTACACACTAGATGATTTGTGTTCCTTGTTTTGCGTCCGTCCATGAGCATGCACATGCAAGCATGACTTATGAGATGTTGGTTCTGTTTGGCAAAACTAGCTGAAAGCTGCGAGATTATAGCTGAAAACTGTTAAGCTAGCTGAAAACTGTGAAATTATAGCTGAAAGCTGATAGCTGTGTAGCTAGCTGATTGAAGTAGAGCTGTTTGGTAAAAGTAGCTGTACAACTAACTTAAATTTGTTAAATGACTAAAAAAAACATGCGATATTATTGATACAACTAGCTTTCATTTGCCCTAATTATTAGGGGCAAAAACGGAAGAAAAAAATTAACAGATCCTTCCCAAAGACAAACGCTACTTGAGGTAGCTTTCCAAAAGCTACTTACAAAAGACACAATCTCCAAAATAATCTTCTCCTATTTTTTGTCACCAAACAGCTCTACTAGCTTATTGACCAAGCCAATAAGACACAATCTCTTAAATAAGACACAATCTCTTGTTGCCAAACAATGCTGTTATCTATCAGTTAATATATGATTATGTATAATTTTGTTGATTGGTTCAAGCGTATGTAGTGCTGATTCCATCCTCATATCTTGTTGGTCATCTTGAATGTAAGATCCTGCGAGTCCTTGCTTTTACTGCCAAGTAGTACGTGGTCTATGGTATTAGGTGCAGGTAAACTAACAGAGGCAGTAAGAAATGAGACTTTCAACCGGGGATGAGAAATGAAGAGCACGGAGCTGACCGTTGTGCTTCAGGAAAAATTATAGGTATCTGGCAACTTCAAAATAAAACTTGGGTTAGCCTAGTTTTATCTTAACTAGACCAAAATTGAACCATGGAAGGGTTGGTGCACAAAAGAACCGGTTTAGGAGTTATATTTTGAACATGAAATAACTAGTTCAATTCGGGCCTGATTTTTGCTAAACTGAAAATAAGGTATTAGATCAATGTTGCACCACCTAAAAGCAGTCTTGTGAAGTTTACAGACACGGTCTAAGGCCTTGTTTGGCGAACTACTAAAACTGGGTCAGGTTCAAACCTGGTGTAATTTTAGCATCTTGTTTGATTAGGAAAAGTTGGGCTAGAGCTGACACAATTATTGTTAGTCTATTTTGGAGGCTTTTAACCGGGCTAGAATTGAACGGCCCGTACCTGGTTCAATTCTAGCCTGGTTAAAAAATAAAACCAAGCTGACCTAGTTTGGAGAGATCCGCCAAACAGACCCTTAAGAAACTAAAATGATGCTAGCATCAAAAAATTTCTATCAACCGACGTATACTCTAAAACTACGTTTAAAAGAAAGTTGAGATTTAATACAAACTCTACCACCACATTTTTAGCAATAAAACTATGATAATAGCGAAATTAAGTTACAATTTGGAGCTCTAATTTGACAACCGGTTAAAGTTAATTTGCAGAAATTTCACCTAATTTATTTGGTCGATTACTCATTAATGCGTGGCTTATATACTCGCACACATCTTTCAAATAATTGTCAGCATTCTAAGGTTTCGAAAGGTGCTCATGACAGACACTTTAGAAAACCTTTAATTTGATGCCCACATCCTACGTTCATGTTACATTTTTTGATTCCAGACGGTAGGAGGAAGGGCGATGAGAGTGAAACAGTAAGGGTGCGTTTGTTTCTTTCTTTTGGGAGGAGAAACCCTGCCAATTGAGGCGTTTTGGCTTGAAAGCACAAAAGTCAGAATTGTGACAGAGTTTCCCCTCCCAAAAACTCAAAACAAACGGGTTCTAAGCTCTCATGTGGTCCGTAGCGAGCTTCCAGTTTCACTTTGTCCTACTTTTCGCTTTTGTAAAGCATTGTTCTCATATTGCCTCTCTCTTTTTTTTATACAGGATATCTAGGATGAAAATACGAACTTGATCATTTGAATTTGTGGACGCATGTTGATCTACAAAGTCAACAATATTGAAGGGCATGAATTATCTACGCATTACATCTAAGATCAAGATTGTTATATACTGATATCTTTTTCCATTCTATAACTATTGGATTGACTATAAAAACAAGAAAATCTATTATCGAAAACCTATTTCTTATAGTCTCTTCTCCTTTGTTTAGTTCGCTTCTTGAAACTAAGAAAAAAGATAAGATATCATCATAGTATTCGATGATTGTAATTCATTTAAAAAAACTCATTTTATAATTTTTTTTTTGAGAAAATGAATAAAAATCAACTTTCTATAATTTCCAATCACTATTTTTCCCCTTTGATTCTAAGAAATCAACCAAACAGACACATATGATATAATTATGGTAGTAAAATCATGTCCTTACTTTCCCATTTGTTTAAATAAAGTTTGGTTTCGTACTTCCCCGCACGCGGAGGTTATTCGCTAGTACATATAATATTCATAACTATTTCTTATTTCAAGAGTTGTGGATTGTAGCCGATGGCCATCCCATTTCTAGAAAAGCGAACGTAAGAAGGGTAAAATATTGACCCTGTGTTTTGGTCGAAGAAGTAACCATCCCATTATGCAATATTAAACAGTCTACCCGCAAGTAACCCTAAAAAATTTTAAACTTAGAAACATATGACCGTTAACGTTAGCTGCATCGAGTCTAATCATAATTTATGTGCATATTAGTAGCTCGATATCTATGAACTCGAGACAATCAAGAGCTTGAGCAATTTGGACTAGACCTAGATTTTGGACTGGGAAAGGGGTGTTCTGATAGCTCAAGAAGGGCAGTAAAATACCATCACAACCCCGTTCTCCCTAATCGCACGACTTTGATCGCCCACATGGGGACTCGGTGACTAAAAACAGATATATAAACATGAACACGCACATACCTACTCCTCTATGCTCATTGTAGGATCCAAAGATTCAATATTCATGTCCAAAGATTCTCCCTATATCATGATGACTACTTGGAAAAAAAATTAGATTTTAGAAATTACTTGTGTATTATTTAGGAAGATTGTGAAAAAAATTTAAATAATTTTGTGTATTTAGAGAGAAAATTATCAAAAATGTAAATGTTAGTGTTACTACATATGTTTGATATTGATATATGAATTTGGTTAAAATTATGGGTTTCTAAAATTAATAAGATAGGGATTAATGGTAAGTAACATTTTTTTTAAGTTTTTTCGTGTAATATTGATCATGAATTTTTTACTCTTCAAAGGTAATGATGAACGATCGAATCGTAATTCTTTGTTCATATGATGGGAAGATTAACTATCTCAAAAATAATATGCCTGTTTATGAAAGAGGTGTGACGAGACCGTTGTTTATAACAAAATCGTGTACTTTCGATGAACTGGTTAATAAATTACACAAACTTACATTAACCAACTCACGTGAGTATCACCTCAATGTTATTTGCAATTATCCTGTTACGGGGAACAGAACAAACGGCATTCAAATATCAAGTGACTATGATATGGGTCTCATTGGAGTGTTACACAACGAGGAGCGTTCGGTCGAATTGTTTATTGAAAAACATCAGAGGAATTTGGGCAAATCGTTGAATAACGCGGAATGTACTCTTGCATGTTGGAGGACATTGAAGTTGACTCTGTCGGCTTTTTATCTCCGCAACAAGATGAAGGTTGGACACAATCACAATACATGAATGATCCTTCGATGGTGGGCACTTCAAATGCTTTCGATACTAACACGACCCATCAAGAAGATAATGCAAGTGTCAAATCCGAGAATGATGATGAAGAGGACGGTTTACAAATTAATAGCATGACGTTGATATATAGTGATGAAAGAGACAACCAACACATTGACGGATGTTATACTAATAATGAGTATGTTGTCTTAAAGGATCCGTCGCCCAATGAACTTCAAGGAGAAGAATGGATTGATAACTCCATGATGGAAAGTGTTCCTATTGGCACTAATAGCGGTGATGCTACACAAGGCGAGGACTTCTAAGTCATGAAGAGTGATCTTTTTGAAAGTAAGGAGAAATTAATTCATGCGGTTCGCTTGTATGCCATTGCCAAAAATGTTAACTTTAGGCCAATAAAAATAACAAAACAAGCTATAATGTGGTTTGTTTTTATCATAAAGATGGTAAAAACAAAGATAATGATGGACACCACTACGACGAAAATAATGGATTCATTGGTCACATTTTGTCGCGGCTTGTTCTGATCTACAGGGTGATGCAACAATTTCACATTATGAATTAGTCGCGGGTTGTTATTCTACTTACAACTATCAAGAAACATACAGAGAGTGTTTTCGTCCATCATATGATAGTCGATATTGGACACAAGACATGCCACAGACATTACCTCCTTTGTATAAAAGGTCGACGGAGCGCCCTCGTACCGTATGAATTAGAAATAATATGGATGACGATCGTAAAGGAATTAGGAGGAGAAGTAAGTGCAGTATATGCAATCAACCGGGCCACAACAAAAACAGTTGTCCAGCTAGGATTAGACATTGATTAGTAATTTGTAGCGTTTCATATAGTGTTAGTTTCCGTATGACATTCGTATTGTAATTTGTAACGATTCGTACTATGTTTGGGATCTAATTTTAATGATTGGTTTTAAATTATTCCTTCACATTACGCATTCATTTATTGTAATATGTTTTTTTATATATGACCAAGTCAGTCATTCAACTAAAATATCTAACATATTGTATATTGTTAATATTTTAATCTCAAATATATTCATTATGGCTCCAGGACCGATACATTCCGACGTTTTGTACCTCCAGACAAGTCATTGTTCAGACCATATTAGCTCATGATAGGTAAAACGTTTTTAATATATATATTCTTTAGCATTGCCACTAATTTTAATTTTTTTTCAATATACTTAATCAATTTTGTTTGACGCGCAACCTGTACTAGACATCACCATAGTCAATCATTCTCAGAGTCATTCGGCTTGGGTCATTGAGGATGAGAGAGTACTACAGCTGATAGCTCAGGTCGAGTTCTATGAGCGTTCGACAGTGCGATATATTAGGTTTGATTGACCGCTTATCACTAAATTGATTGAGAGGTGGATGACAAAGATCAACACATTTCACATGTATATAAGGGATGTTTTATCACCTTACAGGACGTAACTGTTATACTTGGGTTCCGCATCGATGGCCTGACAATTACGAGCACCGATGACCATAATTGAGATGAGAAATGTGCTAGGCTTCTTAGTCAGGTTCCCGACTTGAGGAATGATGCGATGAAGTTATTGTGGCTTCGTTAGACATTTTAAGGAGATATAACAGCAGATGCCTCCATTGAAACGCTTGAGTTTCATGCTGGTGCATACATACTGCACATGATAGGATGCATGCTATTTCATGATACGAGCAAGGCTCTTGTACATGCGCGATAACTGATACTGCTGGAGGATTTTGGTTTATACAGCGCATTATCGTGAGGCAGTACGGTGTTAGCATACTTGTATAGAGAACTGGGTAGAGTATCCTTAATGCAGAATAAAGAATTCAAATGATGTTGCACGTTGATCTAGATTTGGTCATGGGAGCACATTCATGTTGCTAGACCAACTTTGCTTGTGCACCGCGACTTACAAAGCCAATTTCTTTTAGCATACAGATGTAATTGTCCACAGATGGACTCACCGGTGAGATTTCATACAAGATACAAGAGACACAGCTATTGACTATACCGCGTATATGGGTTGACATTGGGATATCACACGAAAATGAATATTGCGTGACCCACAACTATCAACTAGAGACATGTTACACCTACCGACAGACAGTTACATCCCTAATGGGATGATCGGGAGGGATTATATAAGTTTTTAAACTAAGTTATAACATTTTTTATTAAGATTGTACTTAATAAGTTGTTTATCTCGCAAGTCCGTGCTTTTGATAGCATTGAAACTGATATTGATGCACACATGCCTAAGATTCAAGATTCGGTGGCGTTAGGAGTCAAGAAGACAATAACACATGTGTTTCATAAGACTCACGTCGACGAGTTTACCTACCGTGAGGACATGTCTCGATCATTTGGATAAACATACACACGACGACGACGACCACGTGACGATAAAACCGACAGTTCGCATACTAATGGAACCGACACTTCGCAACTCTCATACACAACAGGGTACTCGGATATTCAAATCTCATCAACAGGACATATGAGACGAGGGAAGAGTGATGGGTAAGGGGTAGAAAGGGAGAGGGAGGAGAGGATCTATTTTGGATTGTATATGAACTTATTTTGTTAAAATTTATATTTTTTTATAAATTTTCAAATACTATACTTTTGTGAATTAATTATGATTTATATATGCACTCTTTGTGAGTATTTTTTTGATTCGTGTTTAATTCATGGTTGAATTATGTATATTATTATAATTCAGTGTATATGAGATCAATTATTGTTAATAGGTAAATATAACGTATATGAGATACGTTACGTACAAAACATGTAAATGCTGTTATGCATGTTTTGGATACAAAACATGTACAGGCTGTTATGCATGTTTTGGAAAACCTATAAGACCATCTCCAGCAGGAGGTAAAATTTCACCTCCTTCTCTCCTGTCACATCACTTTATTTAATTCAATAATCTTCATTTCCCTATCAACTCTACAGCAGGAGATTTTTCAGAAAGTTTTTTACTTTATTTGGGACCCACCATAAACCACATCACTTCAACATATACCCCACCATATTTATTCATTCTTTTTCCTATTTCATATATATTACTATTTTATTATTATTATTATTATTAATATAACTCATATATTTATAATTATACTTTATTAATAATTCAATAAATAATATATAATATTTAAATATATATTATTAATTTAATTTTCAATAATATTTTTAAATTAACATAAAATAACATACGATTTTATTAAGCATACGGAAAACCAAACACACCCAAATTATTAAAAACAGGCAAGAAAACACACACTAAATTGGTAAATCTAATCGGAGGTTGTCCCAAACTTCTGCCAAATGTGCTCGATGAGATCCTTCTTCAGCTGAATATGTTGGGTCTTATCTCGTAGTTCCGCTCTAGTCTGATTATCTGCCTCAGATCGGTGTTGAACATGGACTTGAAACTCCGGCAACACGTCTGTTTGAACATTGAAAGAGGCGCTAGAGCTAGCATTGTTCGACGGTTCAAAGTTGATATTTTTCCAGTTTTGCGAATACGTATCTCGTTCATCCTCTACTATCATGTTATGTAAAATAATGCACGTCCTCATTATTTTTCCTAAGACATCAAGGTCCCACATTCTAGCTGGTTGGCGGACAATAGCGAAGCGTGCTTGGAGTACCCCGAATGCGCGTTCCACGTCCTTCCTGCATCATTCCTGTTGTTTGGCAAAAAATTGATGTTTGTTGCCTTGGGGCATTTGAATTGACTGCACGAAGACAGACCACTTAGGGTAGATTCCGTCGGCAAGATAGTATGCAAGATTGTACTCCCGCCCATTCACGGTGAAGTTTACCCGTGGAGCTTCACCTGACTCAATGTCATCAAAAACCGGTGACCTATCTAGTACATTTATGTCATTCAAACTACCAGGAAGCCCTAAAAAAACATGCCACATCCACAAATCATATGACGCAACTGCCTCGAGGATAACTGTTGCCGTCCCCTTGTGTCCACTAGTAAACTGCCCTTGCCAAGCCTTAGGACAATTTTTCCACTGCCAGTGCATGCAATCAATACTTCCAATCATCCCTGGGAATCCACGTTCCTGTCCAACTTGGAGCAACCTCTGCAAGTCTTCCACATTTGGTTGTCGTAAGTATTCATCTTGAAACAATGCTATTACCCCTTCGCAAAACTTGCGAGTACACTCGATAGTAGTGGATTCTCCTATCTTGACGTACTCATCACAAGCATCAGCTGCGACTCTATATGCGAGCATGCGTATGGCAACCGTACACTTCTGGATAGGCGTTAACCCAAGCTTGCCGGCATTATTGCGCCGTTGTGTGAAGTAATCGTCGTAATTTGATATAGAGTCCACAATTCATAGAAAGAGAGGCCTTTTCATTCGATACCTGCGTCGGAACTGGGCGTCAGTGTAAGTGCATGACTCGGCAAAGTAGTCGGCCATGAGTCTCTCATGCGCTGCATGATGATCTCTATGTATGGATTTCCTCTTACGTGGTTGTTCGCTTCTCCTTTGCAATTCTTCAAGAAGTTCTCGCTGCCTATCAAGTATTTTTTTCTTCTATTTCCCATTGTTGTTGGAACTCTTCTAGACTAAACTCATTTAGGAAAGGATCCATTGGATGCTATGATTTTTGAAATGTTGATAGGTATACTTATGATGTGCATTTGATCAGTTTATATAATGAAGGGTGGTTGTTCAAATAATTGAATTCACATGCAATTGCAGAGACATGTGTCATAGGGCATGCATGTGCAGAGAATTGTCAATTCATATTTTGTATTATTATGCAGGTGTAATCATTTCATCCTTTGTATTTTTTGCAGTGAAAGGTCAATTCAACATTTGTTTGTTTTTGCAGTGAGTAGTAATTATATCTTTTGTACTATTATACAGTGAGAAGTCAATATCAATCGGCTTTATTGAAACATAAACAACAATTTTATTCAAACATAAACAACACTTTTACTAATACATTCAACAAACATAGACACCCACACAACTCCAAAATTAAACAAACGGCACACAAAAACATCAGAAAAAAGCACACAATCATAACTTTTTGAGAAGGTCTTATTTTCCAAACAGGTTCTTCCTCAACATATTATAAGCTTCTTCATCTTCATCGTCACGATCTGGTTTGTTTTTCAAGAATAACCACATCTCCATATTCTTGGAATGAGCCAGGTTATTCATAGCTGAAGCAGTACTTGATCTTTTCTCTTTAAATTTTTCATGAGCACTGACTAGCTTAGATAACTCCTCAATTGCCCCCTTTGATTTCCTTGACATAGATGTTTTACTAGAGGAAGCTCTAGCTTTCTTCTTTGCCACGTCCTTCCCTACCCTCTGGACGTACAAGGGTAGGAGTTGATGATTCAACATCCTCACCACTAATCTTTCTTTTAAAGCCACTACTACCAGATGCATTTTCTCCTGTCATATATTTAGGCTGATTACGAACCATCTTCCACTCATCCACCAAATTAAACGTCGTACCCATTTTCTCAAAGTACAACTCTCTTGCCTTGGATATGTAGTTTTCATCGGACCAACCGCTACGCAAGGTTGGTGTCCAAATGACACAAAGTTAGTCTCTATTTATAGAGATTGAAAAATAAAAATTAATTGTATAAAAAAAAATCCCGCCCATTGTATAAAAAAAATCCCGCCCAATCAAAATTTGCCACACGACAGCTGGCAAGCTGCGAGACCTGTCACGCGCGTGGCCTTGTCAGAAATACCCGAGGTGAATTTTTCACCCCTTGGCCTTGTCTTTTTGATTCACCTTTTCAAAAAACCCATACTGCAACCAAATAACTCTTCAAATAACCCCTGCTACACATGGTCTAACTCCATGGGAGTTGAACTCCCGTGGAGTTGAAGTCAACTTTTTTGAGAGTTTCTCTAAAAATTAGACTGAAACCCCACACAAGTTCAACTTAACTGCCGTGATGTCTGTTCAACAAATACAACTTTACGAGAGTTCCAACTCCCGTGAATTTTTGAATTTTTAGAAACCAAGTCGGTTTTTTAAATTAAGGTCTAAAACAAATCGTTTTTCTTAAATTAAATGTTCAAATAGGGTGGTTTTGAAATTTTTGTATCAAAAGACTTGCTAATCAACCGTCTTCCTCCCCCTTCCCTTATGTTATGATTTTCTATACAAGCCTCTACAATATTTTTCACTCATCAATTGTTTTCAAGCATCATTTCCACCTAAACACTCCAAATCCATATTTAATATTCAAACAGAAATACCCACCAAAAATAAATTCACAAGCCATTATATTTCCTGCATAAATACTACAACTTCAGAGAATGGCGACGTGGTTAAACTTTGTAGCTTCCCAACGTCCAAATGCAATAACGACTGCACTGGATAGCGAGGGAAGCGTTTTTTTTTTTGCTTCACTTCATTCTTAGACCAATTCATTTCCAGATTCACAGGCCTTTGATTTCCTTTTTTATGAAGCATATACATTTCCAAATCTCTAACATAAACAACGATTAAAAAAATTTAAAAAAATCTAGAGTACAAAGTTTAAGGTAAAACTCAGTCCCTTAGATGTTCTTGATTTTGCGATCATTTCCGCAGAATCATTACAGGTCTGTAGTAGGATCATCATCGCTACACTAATCATTTACATTTTTTTTAAATATTTTCTACTTGTAGTGGTAATAATAAGACAACTCAGCCCCTTAGATGTTCTTTGATTCTGCGATCATTTCCGCATAAATCATTACAGGTCTGTAGTAGGATCATCACCGTTGCCTTCAAAATCATTTTAAATAAATAAGGAATTAAAAAAAGAGTGTATGTAGTTCCGTTCACAGTATTCCAATAATCCAAATGATAACGGAATACGTAAAAAAATAAATAAAGAACTACAACGGATGAATGTTGCTTCAAGGGAACGAGTCCATTGGGAACTGATATTATCCGCAATGACCAGATTATGAAGCCAAACAAAATGAACTTAATCAATTAAATAATTAAATGTACTCCAAATCCCCTGCTCTAATATTAAAACCAAAAAAAAAAGAGAGAAATTTATAAGAGAGGACTAAAAAGAGTGAATCTGATTTAGCTTCAAGGGAACGAGTCGATCGGGCATCGAGGAAAAAAGCCTGCCGACTAGATTAAGAAGCATCAAATCAAATCGATTAAGCTAAAACTGAATTAAATTAAAAAAAAAAGTTAAAAAGAAACAGTTTTTACCTTTCGAAGAAACTGAGCAGGGGTAGCCTCCAAAGCCCCTAGAGAAGGCGCTAGGGTTTTTGAGGGTGAGGGTCGGGGGATGGGGAATTTATACAGAGGAGGGGAGCGGATGTGGGGTTGCGAAGGTGGTTCTCTCTAATCCAACGGCCGAGATAATGCCGCGTGTGATATTGTTAAAGCAAATAAATGCTTAGCTTTTGGGCCGTTTCTGAAGGCTCTGGAGGGTTTTAAACAGGCCCGATATGGGAGCCCACAAGCCATGCTGAAGCTCAAGCGCAGTGTTACGTCTTAATTTTAGGTTGTGGAAATAAAATCTTTTTTTAAAAAAAAAGCCATAAATAATCGGACATATCGAGTACGCCCAGTGCAGGTGGGTCTTAAATGTGCGTGTCGGCAGTCCAGCCCAAGGTTAAACAATAATAATAAATAAACGGAGAGAGGTTGAGGCCTCACTTCTAAATCCTATTTCCACACTCCACAGTGAGTCGCCATCAACTAATCAAATTGATAAATCCAACAGATTTGAGTACTTATCAGTGATTGAGAATTTATTATATATACATGTATATAGTTCACCAATAATGTTTATGTTAGATTTAAACCATAAAGCCATGATTAATTCAAAAAGATTAACAATAATCTAAAAGAGCGGAAGCTTATACCTGAATCCATTGAAGAAAACTTGAGATGGGTTTTGAATCTTCTAACCTTAGGGTTTTTTCTATAGCCGAATTTTCTCTCAAGATGGGGTTGAAGAGAATTAGATAATGTAACCCTAGATTAGGGACCATAACCCCTTATTTATAGATGTTGTACTTTTGTAATTTGGCCCCTCAACAAATCACAATTACAACCTGGTATCTGCACATATAACCCCATGACTTATATAAATACCCATTAACCCAACTTGATTGATCACTTTAGTGGGTTATCCTAAAAGATAGCAATACACATTGATTAATCATATATGCCCACAATTAGATTTATTAGATTAAATCCAACAATCTCCCACTTGGACACCATATGATTCCTTAAATTGTGTATAACCTTATGAGCTCAAAATTGCTATCACTGAAAAATTGACTATATCAATATAGGATCAAAGCGGCCTTCGTCACATTTATCGTGACTCGACCCATCAATGGTCACATATACCAATATAATCAAACGACATAGATCAATCATGGATATGCAGCATGAAAATTACATACAATGTGATCATTACATATCTATTTTCAACTGGTCCTCCTTTAGTGAGGTCAAAACCAAACATAATGTAACAGAGTGTCTTAACTGAATACTTTATTCTGATCAGACAATACAACCAAACATAAAGCACCACAAATACAAACTCCCACTAAAACATAATATCCTCAAATAATACCACACCCATATGAGCAGTATGCTCATGAAAGACCTTAGGTGGTAATCCCTTAGTAAGAGGATCAGCTATCATGGAGTTTGTCCCAATGTGCTCTATGGATATCTGTCCACTCTGTACCCTTTCTTTCACAATCAGGAACTTAATGTCAATATGTTTTGACTTAGTTGAGCTCCCGTTGTTATTGAAATACATTACTGTAGATTTATTGTCACAATATAACATTAGTGGTTTTTCCATATTTTCTAAAATGCGCAGTCCCATAACAAAATTTGGCAGCTATATTCCCTGATTGGATGCCTCATAGCAAGCTACAAATTCTGCTGTCATAGTGGAGGAAGCTACTAGTGTCTGTTTGACACTTTTCCATGATATAGCTCCTCCTGCTAACATATAAATGCAGCCTGATGTAGACTTCCTGCTATCTTGGCATCTAGCAAAATAAGAGTCGGAATACCCAATGACCTCCAGCTGTTCTGATTTTCTGTATGTGAGCATGTAATCTTTTGTTTTCTGAAGATACCTCATAACCCTTTTGACTGCTATCCAATGATCCATACCAGGGTTGCTTAAGTATCTGCCTAATATCCCAACAATGTACGCAATATCCGGACGCGTACATGCCTGAGCATACATTAGACTTCCTACAACCGAAGCATAAGGAATCTTCTGTATTTCCTAAATTTCAAGGTTACCTTTAGGGCACTGATTGAGACTAAACTTGTCTCCTTTAGCAACAGGGGTGTCACCTGGTCTGCAATCTTGCATGCCAAACCTTTTAAGTACCTTATCGATATAGCTCTTTTGTGATAATCCAAGAATACCCCGAGAGCGATCTCGATGTATCTGGATCCCTAATATAAAATAGGCGTCCCCAAGATCTTTCATCTCAAAATTCTTTGATAGAAATCTCTTGGTTTCGTGCAACATGCCTATATCATTAGTGGCAAGCAAGATGTCATCGACATACAGAACCAGAAAAATATACTTACTCCCACTGAACTTGTGATATACACAGTCATCAATAATGTTCATCTCAAAACCGAACGAGATAATTATTTGTTGAAACTTATGATACCATTGACGAGGAGCTTGCTTGAGTCCATAGATGGATTTCCTTAATTTGCAGACCATATTCTTTGGGTCTCCTGACACAAAGTTTTCTGGTTGCACCATATATATATATATTACTTTTATACAAAATTGTATAATTAATTATTAGTTTATTATGTATTATTTATTATAAAACTAACAATATTATAATAATAAAATAAAATAATATTTATTTCATTGTATAGTGTATTATTATGTTATTATTTTTATTTATAATATTTTGTACTAATGTATTTATATTTTATAATTATTTATTATTATATTGCTTTAACTATATTAATATATAATACATTACGAACATATTAAATATTAGCATTTATATGTTATTATATATGCTATTTTAATTAATATTATTTTCCATATTATTTACCATATATTACTAATACATTAGATTAACTGTAATATAATACAATAAACATATTAATAATAAATTATATTTACTGTATCAAGTTAGATACTATATTAACATCTCCTCAAATTCAAAACCAGAACACCAAATTCAAAACATCTAAAAAGTTTTTTTTTTGATATGAATGTTGCGCTTTTAGTTCAAGGATGTTTTAGCTTAAAAAGTACTATATGATTTTTAGATGCATGATATTTTTTTTGTCAAAAATAACATGAAAACAAGGAAAGCTCCATGATATCTAAATACTACCTTTGTTTTCCTAACCTACAATTACTAATAACCAAATCTAATGAGAGTCATGATAAGCTCCAATCAAGGATAGTATAATTTAGGGGCTGTTTAGTGGTTGTTGGTAAAATTGTGTATTTATGACACAACTTGGAAAGTTGTTGTCCACCTCATCAATTTCACTTATATACTTTTCTTTGTTTGTTTTTGATTCCATTGGAATCATAAATTGCTTGTTTGGTTTGCAAATGTAACTTTAATTGTTTGTTTGGAAAGTGTAAAAAGTGGTCCCTACTCAAATGATCATATTGGTTGAAATTATTTTTTATTATTTTTTTCCGATTTCAATGTCAGCTTTCTCCTAAAACCATGTTTTTCTTATGAAATTACTTTACAAACCACATCAGCATATGAAATCACTTTACAATATTTTTATAACTACAAACAAACAATTGAAAGTGATGAAAGCTAACATTAAGACCCACTTTTTTACGCTTTCCATTCTTTTACATGGTAAAAACATACAACCAAACGGCCCCTTATGGAAGTTAGTTAGTTACTCTCGCTCACCCGTACCGACCGCTACTTGTCATCAACTTGCGACTATTAATCACTCTCCTCTTTTATTTCTCCTCTGCTCACCCTCCCATGGCTCCCATTACTTGAAGGCTACACATTTATTCATCCGTTGTAAATAAACAAATAAAACTCTCATCACTTCCCCTATCTTCTTCCTCTTGCTCTCTTCTTCTCCTTTGTTGGGCATGGATTTCAAGAATCCAGTCAACTTAGAGCACATCTCCTCCTCTCTCTCGTTCAAGAGCAGAGTGATATCTGCCTTTGGACTTGGTGTCTTAGCTTCTCTCCTCGTCTTCTCTCTCCTCCCCAGCGTCAACGCTCCACCCACCATCACTTCTCTCTCCTCCTCCTCTTTCTTCTCCTGGGTTTTCTCCATTAACAACCCTCCCTCAAACTCCACCGACACTTTGTTGGCTCCTCCTGATGTCAACATCACTACTCCCTCAGATTTGGGCACGACCCATTTCATGAATTCAAGCGATTTGTTGGGTAGGCAGCCGATTTCTGTTAAAACCCAAGATGCGAATTCATCAGAGAGTAGTTTTTCTGAGAGAAGCTCGGATTTGGACGATGCCCGTTTCAAGAATCCAACGGAGGAATCCCAAAATCTTAATCTGGGCGCGGACCATGCTTTAGTACTGGGGCAAATCACTATTGGGAGCACGCCTTTAAACAACGGCTCAGCCGAATCCGCAGCTTCTTTTCCGATTTCTGATGAAATCCAAGATGGGATTTCATCAAAAAGCAGTTTTCCTGAGCAAGTGTCGGATTTGGGCAATGCCCATTTCGAGAACTCTACAGGGGAACCTCAAAATCCTAATCTGGAGCTAGTTATGACCGAGAATGCGGCTTTGAACAACAGCGCTGAGGACGAGAGGAAAGATCTCGGATCAACTGCTGAGGAAAATAGGAATGTGAGTGACGATTCTGGTTCTGCGAAAGTACAGGGAGAGGTGACCAAGGAAAAGTGCAACATATTCAACGGGAGATGGGTGAGAGATGAGAGGGAGGCGTTGTATGATGCAGGATCATGCCCATACATTGATAGCGATTTCAATTGCCGCAAGAATGGGAGGCCTGACGACGACTTCTTTGCAGATGGAGATGGCAGCCTTGATGATTTGCCCGGACATTTCTCCGGTTAATTTCTCTTTCAATGTCTTCATTCAAGCTAAATAAATTCATTCGTTTTTCCCCTTTCCATTGAACATGCGCTAATGTGGCTGAAGTCTATAGTCCGCACACATTCTTGTGTCATACGGTTTGCAAATTGTAAATGTTGTATCTCTATACAAACTAATTGAAGTAAATATTGTTAGAATTAATATAACACTATAATCATTGATCCTCACCATAACTTTGGAGTTTTGGTGTAATGGTTGGGGGAACTAAATTTAAGATGGTATTAGAGCAACCCAGGTTTAAATTCCACTGGCCACGAATTAAATGCGGATTTTCTAAAAATTAACACCGCTACATGAGTCCAGGTTCCGACCCATAAAAAAGGACGCACGCTCAACCTGCGGGGGACATATTAAAATTAATATAAAACTACAATCCTTGATCATCAGCATAACTTTAGAGTTTTGATCTAATGGTTAGAAGAACTAAATTTAAGAAATATAAATAACAATTGAGTTTTGTTAGAAGATGACCTGTGTATACGGGGACTTTCCTTGTTGGATTTTATAACTTCAAGGATCTGCCAAGATTTTTTAAAGAATGCTTACCAGAATACAGTTTCCTATTTACTGAGATTGGTAGTTAGTGCCAAAAGTTGAAGCATGCCCAACTATTTGTCAGATTTTTATTTTTTTAAAATTTCTGAAGCTGTTACTTTATGGTCCTAATAAGCAAATTTATGTAGTTAAAAGCATAATAACGTGCAAAATGAACTTTTACATTCTTAAATTAATATTATTTTACCACCAAGGAGTTAGTTCAGGTGGTCGAGAGTGATCAATGTGTCTTCCAAAGGCCTGGGAAGTCCTATTGATGACTAGTTGTCTCCGAGAGGTAGTCCCTCCTTGGGTGAAGGTGTTCCCACATGGGTAGAGCATAATAACCTCGTGATGCCTCTTAAGGTCTAGCTGGGCTTTAACTCGGTCTGGTCTTCTGGCCGTAGGAGAAATTTTGAAAACCATCTGATTTACAAAAAATTCACAAAAACCGACATCTTCTAAAAATAATTGTCAAAACCGACCTAGTTTCAGCCGTCAGGCTGGGTCGGTTTTGAAGAAAAGAACTATGAAACTTCATGGAACTTGAAGTCCCGTGAAGTTTAGCACCGCCTAATGTTAATAGATTAACATCATTATAGCCTGCTAAACTTCACGGGACTTCAAGTCCCGTGAAGTTTCAATAGTTCTTTTTGTTAAACCGACCTAGTTTTCAGCCCGTTAGGTGCAACTAGGTCGGTTTTAACAATTATTTTTAGAAGACGTCATTTCTTGCGAATTTTTTTGTAAATCCGATGGTTTTCAAAATTTGTCCTCTGGCTGTAACTCCCCCGACCAAGGTTTTCCTTATACTAAAAGAAAATTGATTTTATTTTAAGTCTTGGACAACTCTTTCCTTCAAAAAGTTTAGTTTAGTTTTTTTTTTTTTGGATTTTCACCTACTGAATCTCATTTACTGTTACTGAAATTGGGTCATAGTACTCTGAAATATAAATTTTCGTTTTAATGAAAACTCTGAAATAGAAGTTTACTTGGTAAGTTAAAAAAAATTCTAAAGGATCCTGCTAGCATCAATTGCTTCAATAAAAAATAAAAGCATTCTTACTTTTTTTTGATCGATTATTTGTTGTATCCAATGAGCTTTAACTATAAGCAAGCAATAGTCCTAGGTGCATTCTTTTTGGTTCATATTGCTGTTGTTAGATGTGCACTCAATATGAATTAATCTTCTTTCCTTCTGATAGCTTGAATGCGACTGATTTTCTAGTAAGACTGAAAGGGCAAAGACTTATTTTTGTGGGTGACTCGTTAAATCGGAATATGTGGCAGTCCCTGGTGTGTATACTCCGCCATAGCGTAGAAAATAAAGACAGAGTCTATGAAGCTGCTAGAAGACGTAAGTTTAAACTGACAGGGTACTACTCTATCATATTTGAGGTATATATATATGTATGTATATATTTACATTCTAACTTGAAAGAATCATATTTTTTCTTCTTTGTGGTCTATTTATGTAAGTTTCGTTTTGTTCGCCTAACCTAGGATTACAAGTGCTCCATAGAGTATGTAAGATCGACATATCTGGTAAGAGGATTGCATGATGATGAGAGACTCAGATTGGACTTAATGGACGAAACAACCAAAGCATATCGAGAAGCTGATATAGTAGTTTTTAATACAGGTCATTGGTGGACTCATGAGAAACCTTCAAAAGGGTGAGAATTGGTGTTCCTTTTTACAAGATTGCATGTTCTTCCTAGCGGTAAAATTTTTTGTTAGTTGATTCTGATGTCCTTTATTTGCCATTATCTACTTGAATTGTCAAATTGTCAGAGTTGACTACTACCAAGAAGGTGATAACGTGTATCCGCTTCTCAAAGTCATGGAAGCCTACAAGAGGGCTCTCACTACTTGGGCAAGTTGGGTTGACAAATACATCAACTTCAACAGAACTCAGGTGGTTTTCAGAGGTTACTCACCCACTCACTACAGGTATGTATGCATTACGCTATTGTTGATTGGAAACCTTCGATCATATCCTGAATATTTTTTGAGTAAAGTCATATCATGCGTCTTGATATTGAAGTTTTTTGCATCTTTTGTTGTGCGGCCACTTTAGGCAAGAGATATTTAAAACAAAGCCTAAAAAGTAATTACACTTAAAAATGGAGTTTTCATGTTGACGCCTTGTACCTCTTTTGAAGGTTTCTATCTTTCGACTTAAGATCGCTTTGGTTGACAAATCATATGTTGCTCACATGCACATCCATTGTATTAGACCACAAAAAGTAGTCCCCATAGAGTTAGAAGACGTAAAAGAGGCGCTATATAGATTAACATGCCACTTTGATTGGAACTTTGATCAGTTTGCAGCTTGCATTCTTAATTGGTGTATATTCTACTCAATGAGTGTTTAAATGGCTGTCCATCATGTGAAACCCAGCCGACTGGAACCCTACTAGTGTTAGTGGAATATGTTTAGATCTGAGATCTGAACAAATAGGTAAAGTCAAAAGTACATGTGTGGCCTAATCAAGGATCGTCTTCCACCACTCTTAGGTCATCTGTTACGGGTTAATATTCTTTCATAGTGATACCAAAAATATGACCAGGTAAAGAAAGAGGCTATGAATGAAATTAATGAGCATGTTGACAGTTAACTACCAATAACACTATGCATTATATATAGCAATTAGCCATAAGATTACTGAATCGCATTCTACGGCGTCAACCTCTTATTTAGGTAACAAATAGGAGGGCGGATGATCGGTGCGTGCAGTTGAAGTAGTCTTGACCAACAAGATAAAGGATGAGATATTAAGATATGAAAGACATAATTTTGCCTTTCCGTAGATAAACTTTCTAATGATTCCATACAATATCTGAACTAGACCCGGACTAGCATCATTCGATCTTCAAATGATAGCTTTGTCGAGAAACAGATCATTTTGGCATGTCGAATTTAACCGTGTCGGCATCATAATGTTCAAGAGGCTTCTTGTTGATGTAATTACCCATGAATAGTGCGCTGGCATCAGTGCATGTGATTATCAATCAGTGCTCTTCCCTTTGTTCAAGATATACGACGGAAACTAACTTTGGACTTGATAATCTGAAATCGCATGTTCTCATGAATTGTAGTAAATTCCCATTTATGCTTTCATACAGTTATACTAGTTTAGCTATTTTGGGTACACTACAATATCCAATCAGCTTAAAGCTATTAGCAATCTAATACCTTATCCGATACTAGCTTTTATTTTAGGCTAAATATCATAAAATCCTCCTTTTAACTTTGGATAATTATCAGATAACCATCCATAACTTTCAATCAGAAAAACTCCCTCAAAATATAAAAGCCCATTTAACTTTGAGATTTTATTAGAAAACCCCTCTAAGAGAAATTTTCACCTACAAAACTATCAACCGTGCATAATTTTACCCACCCATGTGAAATTTGAGATTAATGCTGTTAGGGGAGGGTTTTTCTAATAAAATATTAAAGTTAAATGGGACTTTCTGATAACCACTAATTACTTAAGGATATTATTATTATTAGTATTATCTAGCCTTTACTTTATCCTATCAGGATCCCATGTTTTTTTTAAGGGGCTGTTTGGATAGGTTTTTTTGGATGGTAAAAAAGGAGAAAGCTGTCAAAAATGTCAGCTTTTTGACAGCTTTCCCCCAAAATCACCTTTTTAAGAGGTGATTTTGGAGGAAAGCTGCCAAAAAGCTGACATTTTTGACAGCTTTCCCCACTTTTACCACCAAAAAACAGGAACCAAACAGCCCCTAAGTATTAACTTGACTTCCGCTCATCATTATCAATTGTTCTAGCACCCTTTTCATCGTTTTACCAAACTTGGTCTATCACCATCATCATCCTTATCATCTCAAGCTTTTGCCCATGGAAGTGTTAGCTTGCAAGTAGGCGCGAAGAAAGATTTGGGAAATCTTTTATACGCTTATCAGGATAATTTGGTCAACCATATCTGAGGGTGTTATCGAGCTTCTGATTGAGAGAGTGAGAGAGAGAGAGAGAGAGAGAGAGAGAGAGATAAATCAGCAAAACTTCTTCTTTGTGAAATTTGTAATCTACTGAAAATTTTCCTTGCTCAGTCGACGTTATAACTTCATATATATCCCGTGCTTAATTCGGTCTGACTACATCACTATGTTATTTTTAAGGGACGCTAGTTATTCATCACAACGCTTGTTAACGTAATACTACCAATCTCACGCTGGTATCAGCATCTCTTTAGTCAGTGGATTTTTAAATCAACTCTCTTGGGATTGTCCAGTTTCCTCATCACCTACATTACAATTATTTAGTTTTTTTTTCCCGAAATGATAAGCATCCGTATAGAAAGTTATTCATCATAGAATTGGGGACATGCATGCATGCATGGGTCTAACTAAAATTGCTGCAGGGGGAGACAGTGGAAGTCCGGTGGTCAGTGTTACAAGGAAACCGAGCCGATCTTCAATGAAACTTTTCTTTCGAAGTACCCTCCAAAGATGAGAGCTTTTGAGGAGGTTATGGAGCAAATGAAGGCACCAGTGACTTATCTCAACATCAGCAGGCTTACTGACTACAGGAAAGATGGTCATCCTTCGGTATACAGGAAAACTTACAATACAGTTCGAGAGCAGATTGCTGGAGAAAAGTCCCCAGACTGCAGCCATTGGTGCCTGCCAGGAATACCGGACACGTGGAATGAGCTTCTCTATGCTTCTCTGCTTTTAAATGGCAGAGGATCATGGATGCCGTGAATTTCAAACTCAGTTTGGATGTGCTATAGAATAATGATGATTCTTCTGAATAAAAGAAAATAAGAAGGGGAAAAAAAAAGGACCGAACACCTTTTAACCGGCACTACTCAAATCGCTGCCGAGTTTTTTGGTCCTGACAGAAGATATGAATTGCTGAATTCAAGTAGAGATTAATCCACAGTACTCACTAGCTGTAGAAGTTTAAAGGGCACTCCTGTGGTGGTATCAGTTTTTTTTTTATTTTCCTTTCCATTCATTTNTCCTCCCTCAAATATTTGAAAATAACTGAAACTTGAGAGTTCGTCTCTGATTAATTTCTATTTATGTTGTACTCAGTTAGTGTTGGGAAAACCCGGGGTTACGCTAAACCCCTAAAACAGTAGAAACGCAGTACAAAGAAAAGTACACAAAGATTTAACGAGGTTCGGCAAACTTGCCTACGTCCTCGGGAGCCACACAATTAATTTCTTATTAATCAACAGAAATTACAATACAAGAGTAGATCTCAAACTTAAGATCTCTCAATAAATACAAATCAACATTGTTGATTCCCCCTCGATCTCTCAATAAAAATCTTTGAGAGCTCGAGAAATTAATTCTCCCCTCCTAATCAAACCCCCTTCTTAAAATATTCAATAAGAGGCGCGGGAGAAAAAAAGAGGAGCAGAGGGAAAAACGCT